GTTGCTACAGTCTCTCCACATGTTGTTGATTAAGTTGCTACAGTCTCTCCACATGTTGTTGATTAAGTTGCTACAGTCTCTCCACATGTTGTTGATTAAGTTGCTACAGTCTCTCCACATGTTGTTGATTAAGTTGCTACAGTCTCTCCACATGTTGTTGATTAAGTTGCAACAGCCTCTCCACATGTTGTTGATTAAGTTGCAACAGCCTCTCCACATGTTGTTGATTAAGTTGCAACAGCCTCTCCACATGTTGTTGATTAAGTTGCAACAGTCTCTCCACATGTTGTTGATTAAGTTGCAACAGTCTCTCCACATGTTGTTGATTAAGTTGCAACAGTCTCTCCACATGTTGTTGATTAAGTTGCAACAGTCTCTCCACATGTTGTTGATTAAGTTGCAACAGTCTCTCCACATGTTGTTGATTAAGTTGCAACAGTCTCTCCACATGTTGTTGATTAAGTTGCAACAGTCTCTCCACATGTTGTTGATTAAGTTGCAACAGTCTCTCCACATGTTGTTGATTAAGTTGCAACAGTCTCTCCATATGTTGTTGATTAAGTTGCAACAGTCTCCCCATATGTTGGTGATTAAAACAAAAACAAGATCTTGAAGAATCTATCTATATATATTACTAAAACTCTGAGATTGTTTGTTTGTTTGCTTATTTTCTCAGTCAACATCATTCACACTACCATTCACGCTCTTTACAAAACTTCTTACTTCACTTTTTTGAAAAATGAAATTAGCTTGAATTCTTCATAATCTTTGAATAGTGGTTGACTCAACAGGTCACGGTGGTCTAGTATGTAATAAAATCATATGACTACTGAAACATTATTTATCCTTGACCTTTTGCATATGAAGCATGTGCTTTATTGCATGAGTGAGAGCCCAAATACTTTTTTCACATATGCAGCATTATTAAGTGGAATACTATGTATCTGTGATAAGGGTTTGTGTTTTAAATAGATAAATCCTTTGAATAATGCTGTTGTATTATGTAATTGGACATGATTGAAACAATAACCTATTAAGCAGAATATGGAGTTGTTATATTTAGATTTAAAGTAAATAAATGTAAAAAAACATTGAAATTCTATAAATGAATCATATTTCTGTTTTAAATATTTTGTAAACACTTTGTCTTTGTGGAATATCACCACATTTGAATGAGATCTTGAAATTTTTTTTATTGAACTCTTGATAAAGTAACATTATAAAATAGTGAATTTTTACATTTATGGTATCAAAAAGTGTAAAAATCAACTGTCTTCTTTTTTCACTCTTTCAATTCTTTTTCCTTCCATAATGTTATCAAGTCTTTTTTACTTTCTACTAAAGTTTCAACAAATAGTCAATAATGAAAAAGTTGTAATATTTTATTCTCCTGCGTATTAAGCATATTTAAACTTTAGGCCTAATTAACAATTTTTAGGCACCTATATTGTTATAGTTAGAAACATATAAATATTTATAAAATAATGAATTTTTAAAGTTATGGTATTAAGAAGTGTAAAAATCAGTTGTTGTTATGTGTTCTTTTATAAATTTTCTTTGTGTATATATGTTTAAATCATATTTGTATATTATCTGAAATTATTTGCTTTTGTGCAATTTGTTAGCTGTAGAGCATCAAAAATGCAGATTTTTAGGTGCATGTTGGAATTCATATTGAAATGTAATGGTAGTGCATTATTTGTAAGTGACAGAAAGGTAAAGAATTAATTTAATGTGCTTAATGTTACTGAAGTAATTGTCTTTAAAGTTAATATAAACATCATAGAACGATGCACATTAAATGTCATTCACTTTTGTACTCTTATATATGTAAAAGTACATCTGTACGATTAGCTAATAGGAATATTGGGTTTCTATGTGAGCTAGCACGAATACATGCATGGACTGGCTGACAAACATTGTTCTTTTAATTACATAGATGTTCCCTCCCTGGGAGGCTATCTTGCAAGCTATATAACTCAGCTGTTAAGTAAGCCAGATCTCAAACTAAAATGATATGGTAAAGTATGGGAGGTTGATTTGAATTATATTGAATGTGTTATCTTGCAAAGAAGACTTAGCTGAAATTAAGTTAGAATATTTTGAAAACTGGTGTTTGTCTGGAATATTATTTAAATTCTTCTCCACCTAATGTTAATAATTTAATTAGTGATTGACAAAATATTTTATGGAAAGTGAAGCAACAATATTTCTGTTTCTGATTTTAACAGTTGTTAGTATGAAATATTATTTCATGCTTGTGTTATAACCTCTCTTTGTTGTCCATTGCAACATGACTTTACTTCTTTCAGTGGTGTTCCCCACTGTTGTAGCTATAAGGATTATGTCCTTCTTATACCCTGAAGCACTTCCTCATGTTTGTCTTAATTAGGGTTTTCATTTTTACACAGTAGTAAATTATTGGTTGCGGCCTGGCTGGTGCACCATCTTTTAGGAGAGACTAGACCACTATGACTCGTTGGGTCACCCACTATTCAGAGGCTATGAAGAATTCAAGCTAATTTCAATATTGCACTGCAATGAAGGTTTATTTTGATATAATTCAATTAAATATTTCAATCCATTCGTGTTATTCATAATTCAAGAAAAGATATTTGATTGTGATCGGGAGTAAAAGGAAAGACCATTTCATTTTTCAAAAAAATGAAGTAAGAAGTTTCATAAAGAGTGCAAATGGAAGTGTGTTGTAAAATTATTCATGCTAGAAATTTTTATAAAAGTGACCCAAAAAATCGGCGCTAACTTGGTAACCCTTGGCCCGATTTTAATGAAACTTGTTTTATTCTGTTTCTATTCTCATTTCATGGGGTTACCATATTCTAACAAATATGGCACTATTGTATGCTGTTTTTGCTGTATTTAATTACAGACAAGCAAACAAACAAACAATCTCAGAGTTTTAGTAGTATAAAGATATCAAGAACTGGTTCAGGCTTTTAGTGCATCTCTTTTCCTTGTCAGTTTGAGGTTTTATTATTACAGCCCTTCATTTCTACAATTTTGTGATAACACAGCATGTTGTTTGAACAATAACTAATTGTTTAAGAATAACCACAGGCATAGTTTCTTTATCATTGGATAGAGCAGGTTATGAACTGTATTTGTCAATGTAGAGTAAATAAAGTAGCACGAACAGTAATTTATGGTTTTAGGGGGAATTTACTAGATGGAACCCCCCTCAGAGGTGAACAAAGCAGGGCTCACACAGGTCATGAAAATCCTGGAAAAACATGGAATTTTATAAACAAATTTTCAGTACTGGAAATCCTGGAAAATCAATGGTTTTTATCAGAAGGTCTTGCAAAAGTCTTTGAAAGTCTAACCCAATTACACCCACATCATCATTTTTATTAACAACAAGTGGTACCATTGCATTTATCTCAATTTCACAAAAACTATCTCTAGAAAATGTGACTCTTAAAATGGGATATATACTGACATTATGTAATACTGATCAATAGCAGGTTTTAAACCATGTAACTTGATATGCAAGAGAACAGGTGTCAAGTTATTATTATTATTAGACTAATATTGTTAGTATAAAATAAGTTTTCAGCAGAAGTTTAAGATCACAAAATTGTTGACAGGATAAAGAACATTGACATTTTTTAAGATTCCCATCTTTGGCATAAACACTCAAAGAATGATTGACAATGTTTGTAGCTTAAGTTTGTCATCGGGTTTTGCTTAATATTCTTTAATAAACAGAGATAGAGAAAGAAATGCAATTCTAAGTGGCAACAATACAATACAGTCAGTGTCATAAATCTAACCAGCTTGCACAAAATAGTAAAATATTTGCCAAGAAAGACCGCCCGTCTGCCTCTATCTGATGATGTCATCCTTTATTTATACAGTGATTGAATTATTTTGGCCCCATTATTAAATATCATTGGGATAGTCTTCTACTTTTAAGGGATAATCAGAACCATAACTATAGTATTGTAATATATGTTTCTTCTTTCAGATCTAAAATGAATACTGTTCTTGAAAAATTCACTGTCATACTTATAATCATCATACTCTGTAATGACTGATACACATGATAGCACTATTGACAACAAATAAAATTATTCAGAATAATTATTGTTTTTAAAATACTTTTTAACTATCATGCCCAGACTAGTGCATTTCACCTTGACAGCAAAATTGCACCATTAAATAAAAAAAATTAGTAAATAAGTTTCTAACTGTTCTTTGATTCTTTCACACATGGATAAATAAATACTTCATAGGTGAATTTAATTCAATAACATGTTTTATTTATTTAATTTTATACATAAGTTGATTTTGAGCTCATTTCAATGCATTCAAAAAACAAAAACATTAGTCTTGTGAATTTCCAATACTTTTTATGAGCATAATATGGCATTTGTAGGCAATACGTTTAAACAAATGGTACTAATTTCACCTTTTAGTGTAGTTTTATGATTTTTAGACAAACACTGTTTCTCAATCTTGGTTGGCATGGTGTGATGTGATTGTCTATACCTCAGCTTTGAGAACTACTGGGTTATTAATCTAAATATGTAATGAAAGCCCTTTTTCTGTTCTTTGTAACTGTATAAGACAATGTGACTTCCAGTATGTTTGAGATTTACGTAGAGATTTGAACAAAGTGATGATTTTAGCTTGGTGATATGTTGCTGGAAGAAACAACATTTAAGAACAACTTCAACACACAATTACAGTTCCAATTTTTGTAAAGCTTGTGAAAAACTTACTTTATCATTTTTTACTTAATTTGAATTATAATGTTGCAGTATGATAGAAAAGTAAGTGTTTTTTATGGGACAAGATTTGGTGGGCTTAGTGTATTTTGTAACTGACACTATCAAATTGCATTTTGCTATCAAGACTGCTGTGTTTACATTAGAGCTTATTGGATTAGGTAACTGCTTGAATAGGCAAAGAAAATCACCCAAAATATATTTAAATGAATTAAAAATGTTTAAAACTTATTACTCATACTAAAAGAAACCTTTTTAAGAATTTTAAGAAAAGTTGATTTGCTTATAATTTCAAAACATACATACCTCCATTGACACTAATAGCTAATTCTTGATCTTCATCTTTGCCATCTAATGTTGTGTTCGCTTGCTCCAGTCTTTATATACCCCACTCAACTGCCCTCGGCAATATCTAATTTGCAAAACTTTACTTTGGCTCTCACATGCCTTCTGTGCAGGTAAGCACTGTCTGCAATAAAATAAAATCCCTTTTTCTCAATAAAGTGTGAGCATTCAGACTAATATTTTGTGATTTACATTTTCTTAGTTTTCACCTTCTAATAATAGGGAATTCTTTATTTTGTTATCCAGAGATATATTTCTTTGAATTTGTTTTTTGTTTTTTCCTACAAACATATTAAAAAATAAGTAAAAAAAATTGGGTATGGGGGGAGGGGGCTATCTGTGACCTTAATCGGGAAGTATCTCTCCCGGAGGTGCTTATTTGAATTTTCATTTTGAAACAGGATATTTTGGGGAGGATTTAGACTCCCTGTTTCCTGCTCCTTCTTTCAATAGAGCTTCCTCTCCTGAGGACTCATCTGATCAGCCAGAACCTTTTTCCTTTTTTTTGCAGTTAGTTACACGTGTTTTTGAAGTTTTGGAGATGCAACCAGTTGCATTTGAGTCTATCCTGCCTTGTTGTCCAATCGTTCACAGGGGGATTACTTAGTTTTCCTCCTTCTCCTGATATTGCTGTGCATGCAAGGAATGTTGCGACACAATTACTTGAGGGTGTCACTATGCCCCCCTCCCCATTTATCTGAACAACATGCCCTGGCATATCATTGTCAGGATGATATATATTTGGACACTCAAAGGTTGGATCCATTGTTGGATCTGTGGGGTGCCAGGTATGAACCTGTTATCTCTCTTAACAGGTTGCAATTTTCGCTGATTCATTTGACTCTTACTACTATTTTAAGATACTTCTCTTCCCTTCAAATGCCTCAACAATTTGATGACAAACTGGGCCATTTACTGGTCACTATTATGACACGTTTGTCTTCTTCAGGACTTGCCAAGGTGTCATGGTTGGTCTGTTGCTGAAACTTGTTGAGTCATGATGCATTTTTGGAGGGTATTCACTTACCTTCTTCTGCCCCTCGAGATTTACCGGAAGTTCCTATTTTTTGGCCTTATTTATTTGCTGGAATTCCAGAATCTTTAGAAGCCAGAGTTGATACAGCACTTTTGCAGTCTTCTTTATCATCTTTAGCTGCTCGACCCAATTATACTTCTGCATGTTCATCCCCTCATGTCTCAAGGCCCCCTCCTTCCACTGGTTCTGTTAATCATTTCTGTACTTCTTTTTGTGGGCTGGTATGTGGACTTCTCCTGACATGTTTATATCTCATTACCTTCACAATCTGGCAGTTCCTCTTCGAAGGGATTTCGTCTTCCCCCTGTGGCTGTGTTGACTACCTCTACTAGATTTTAAAAGGGTGGTGAGTGATGTGTTATCTGACTTACAGTTATTGTTCCTTTCTCTTCTAGGATCCCTATTGATTTTTTGAATCCCACTCAGTGGCGAGTGTTGCCCAGTCGGGTATGCTTGTATTTTATTTCCGCACTAGCAATCTTTATATCAGTTCCTGGTTGCAATGGGCTCTGTTGAGATGAGGAGTTCCATAAGACCATCTGGATGCAATTCTGGGTGGTGATGTCATATTACAAAATTTCTAATGGACCACTATTCATAGACTATCATAAGTAAAGCTAAAGGGGATTTTGCCAGTCCCTGCTGACCATAGAGCTGAAACAGTTGAGATAAGTTTGCTTTTAAAAATTAGGGAATGTGGTTCACCTGTTGCACTGTCTCCAAAGATCTGTTCTTCAGAGCTCCCCAACTCTTATGTTCCCCACTTACTTCTACTGGTGGAGCTCGGGAGTCCTTATCACACCTAGTTTCCAGTCACAGGGGTGATGGACAGAGGATTTACCTTCGGAGTGTTGAGTTTTGGGGACCCTCTTACCCGGGTCTGTGGAAGTTTTTTTTTTAAGATGTCGGTAGAAGCAGGACCAACCTATGCGGGAGCCTACTCGTAAAACCAGTCCAAATTTGACACTTAGCTATGCGATGGGGGGTGCTTGGACCCTCTTATGAACACTGTCATGTTGTTTATGTAGGGGGTCCACTATCTCCTTGTAAATCTGAATGCGACGAAGTCCCATTGCTCCTTGATGGGACAGTGTTCCACATCCTCTCCTTAATTTCATATTTAAGAAAAATTCTCCTTGCCCAGTTGGTGTGAGAGTAAAGACAACTGTTTGTAAATCCACTTCGGATGAGTTCTAGATTTTGGTGGAGTATGTCATATGATCCCATCAATCCAAACCTGGGATGTTGCCTTTTGGACTTCTTCAGGCTGACCAGAAAGATTGTCCATTTTGGTGTTGCTTTCTTTCTTTCATAAATCCAGTGGTTCAAAATGCATCATTCTATGGTTATTGGTAGGGATCCTGTCACAAAGATGTATATATCTGCAGTCCAACTGCCCTGGCCACCAACGTGTTATATGGATACCATGACCCATTAAATCCAACCCGAGTTGTGGAATTTCGGCTGTTTGGTCGGGGTTGGACCATCATACTTGTATTATATTCCACCCTTTTCAATTTTCTGTAGTTCTGAGTGAAGAGCATACCTGTTCTGGATGTAGTGCGGTGTTCCCCACTTTGATATTACTTCTCGTGGTACATATTTGTTCTCTGCAGAT